GTCAACAATAGCAAACAGATTAAGGTAAGCAGTTTGAATCAACAATGGCAAACAGATTAAGGTAAGCAGTTTGAGTCGGCAATGGCAAACAGATTAAGGTAAGCTGTTGGATTTGGCAATGGCAAACAGTTTAAGGTAAGCAGTTTGAGTTGGCAATGGCCCATACAATAACTGGATTATTTCTGTATTGATAAAAGTGGTGTACTGTAAACCATTTTATTTGCACGAGACATTTCATTGAGATTAAACAGCATTTCCTGAGGGGGTGGTATTGAAATGCATTGGTCACATCCTACCCATTATTCGTCACTGCATGTTAAAATATATACGAAAGATACATATTGTAGTCAAGTACAAATAAGAGCTAAGTGCCATGACTGGTCCATTATAGTAAAGACTTCATGATTGAGTTTCAGCAAGATACATCATAAGATTTTTTTATTTTTAGGAAAGGTCCAAGGAATGAATGGAGTGATGATGACACTGACCTGGTTACTGCTAAATTTGAGTTTATGTAAGATTACAATAATTAATTAATATACCCTTGATTATACTCTTTATATTCCATATAAGTTTCAAAGTTGAAATGAAGGAACACAAAATTGTCAAGGTGTTTGTATTTTACCATAATTTGGAGTACAAATTCTAGAACAATATGTCATAGCAAAGTTGAACATAAAGTTTTTTCTTTACCAATATGGTATTCTCTGTTCTCATTCATTGTAGCTGGATTAGCTATACAGATATTTATGATTTTGATGTGGATCAGCATCCGGATACCATAATTGATGCAGTTGCTAAGCAACCATGGAGCAGAGAGTTCTTCAGGCTACTCAGAGAGTAAGTGGTGTTAATAAAATTTATATTGATATTGTGTCCAAAATGTCTTTATTGTTCTATGACAATGTACCTGGTGTAATAGCTTTTTAGTCAAGTTTGAAAACTATCAACCTGTATAAATTATTAAACTTTACTGACTGATGCTATTTATATATTGAATAGAATGGTCCCTGCAATCATAAATAATATTTGGTTTAATTAAAAACCTCTCAATTCCTCTTTGAAATAAAAACTGGTTACAAGTTTAAATTTTAATATTCAATTTATTGATTCAATATTGCTCACCTTCAATCAGAACATTATATATGACTTTTGATTTGCTTGTAGCATTTATAAACAAGTTCACTGTTGATGACACCCACAAATCTGATTAAATGCATGCTTGTTTCCACTCTCATATTAGCTTAATATGTTTTTATTTGATTTCAGTGCTCATCAGACACATTATGAGCAGTTTGGTGAATGGAAAGGCAAAGTTCAACTTGAAGGTCATAATGACATTGAGTTAAATATGAAGGGCATGAGAGACCATTCATATGGTGAGTACATACCATTAAAATCTCAATTCATATGGTAGGTACATATCTCATTGTTGTATTCGGTACACCACTCATTGTGCATAGGTACACCACTCATTGTGCATAGGTACACCACTCATTGTGCATAGGTACATGTTGGTTAAAAAGTTGTTTGAAAGATGAGGGTTACAAAGATTATTTTGCAATGCAGTTCAGTTTAGCAAGCAGGATTGTTGAAATAACATGCAAGGCATAGCAAAGGAACGTTAATTCAGTTTTTTACCCTTAATCTTCTTTATAAATTTATATACTGCACTATCAAGATTTGTATTAAAGTGCTTTTCAAGAAATAATTTATTTATAAAATTACCATTCATGAGCAATCTGGATGTTGTATTAAATAATGATTTATGTTGTTTTTTAGGTCTATTGTTTTGTGTGCTATAGAGCTTAAAGCGTATAATTTGATCAGAATCTGGATTTCTAACTGTACAACTACTATTGGGAAAATGGAACATTTTTGAGAGTAACTTTGGTAATCTCATATGCAGTTATGTTGATAGAGGGATGTTGACAAGCTGAAACTTTTTTGTATAAGGCCATATGACATATAATAATGCAGTTACCTGGAAGTCTAGAAATTGTCTTCTATTGGTAGCATGTGAGATTTGACAGGTGGCAGTAGCAGGTTTCACATTAAACTCCCCAAAAAGTGATTTGTTACAAAGATATTGTCTTGAATTTAGTTGTAGATAATTAGGGTTTATACTAAGCACACTGAGACAAAGTGGTACACGTTATAACTTGTAGAAACTTTAGTAATGAGACTGTATGAAATGGCACAATGCAGTATTCTTGAATATTGATAGTTGTACAAAGACGATTTTGTTCCTCCTTGCATGAATCTGTCTAGAGTTATACAGTGATTTTACTATGACTGTAATTGTAGCCAAGTTCAGAGCCTTTAAAGATTGATGCACTCTGCCTCAGATACCCTAGCTGTGATTTTAAAATGTCACACATACCATTTAGCAATATGATGTTGATCCATTAGTAACTTATATTCGTAGGTAAACACCGTGAATGGGGTGATTTTCATCGCTATGGTATTCATATGATTCACTTGGAAGATGGCACTTCAATTAATTTGGGGAAGATTTGTTTACCTGAAACCTTATCAGAGTAAGTTATTTGTTTACCAACATTATAGTCATGGATTTAGAGTGATAATCAGTCTAATTAAAAAAAAAATTAAAAACATGTACATAGTGTGACTATTCTTCATTAAACTTACGAGTATATGTATGAATAGAAGTTTGGAATGTTTAGTTTCTCCTGTTATCTATTTTAGATTCACTCGATTTACAATTTAGATTCTCCTATTAGATATTATTCAGCTAGTTCGTTCAGATTATCCAGTAATTCAAGTCAGATTATCTTGTGTTATCTAGTTTTGTCTCAGTCTGTATAAAGACAGGAACCTTTTTTCATGTTATATTATGGTGCAATGCAACATGTTAAATCTGTTTTCAGTTTATCTATTGGATATGTGATGAATACTAAGGGTAAAAAAGAAGCCATTTCCTGGACTGATATGGATCTACCAACTCTTGGTGAAGAAGGGATACCACCAAAGGAATATCAAGTTAACTTTCTAGCAGGTGTGTTTGAATCATCTAGGCAGCCATATCTCTATTGAAACTTGAAACATAGATGTCATAGGACACTGCACAGACCTAATAGTTTTTAGGGTAAAATCAGTACATGTTATCTAATTTGCATAATTAATTACTTTTCAGCTTTTGATATTTCAAGTAGTCACATTCAATGAAACTTGGTACATAGATACTCTAGGACTATGCAGAGATAGAATGTTTTGGGGTAAATATTTGTGCATATTAATTACCTAATTTGCATAATTAGTTATTTTTCAGCTTTTCCACTGATATCAAGAGTACTAATCATCACATTTCAATGAGCCTAGGACTATACAGAGACCCAAATAGTTTTTGGTAAATATTTATGCATATTAATCACCTAATTAACATAATTAACCAACTTCCACACTGATATGTCAAGTACTGATCATCACATTTGAATAAAATTTAGTACATAAATGCTCTAGGACAATAGACAGGCCTGATTAATTTTTTGGGTAAAATCTGTTCATATTAATTCCCTAATAAGCATAATAATTCATAATGTTTTAGTTCTAATCACATTTCAATGAAACTTGGTACATAGATATTACATTACGCAGGCCTTATTAGTTTTACACTCAAATCTGTTCTTATTGATTACCTGATTTGCATAATTAGTTTTCATCTTTTCCATCAATATCTCAAGTACCAGTAATTTTTGATTAATTTTTAATGTGTCTTCAATACTCTCAGCACACAGGACTTCTTTCTAAGCTTTCTTTGATTATAATAAGTGATGTTTTACTGCCATTGTGATATTTCCAGATGGCAGTAAGTGGTGTTTCACTGCCATGGTGATTTTTCCAGATGGCAGTAAGTGGTGTTTCACTGCCATGGTGATTTTTTCAGATGGCAGGAAGTGGTGTTTCACTGCCATGGTGATCTTTTCAGATGACAGTATTGTCAGACATTCAATGCTATTCCCATTTTTGATTGACAGGTGAGAAGAAATACAACATGAAAGTTCAAGTTCATAGGGCTCCTATATTCTACATGGGGTTTGGCTGGGAAGCTAGAATCTATGAGCAAATGGTCAGTGTCAATGTCAATGGTCAAAAGGGACGAGGAATTGCAGAGTTTTTGTACAGGTAAAATCAAACTGAATTTTTTTCAGAATTACAATTTGCATGTATATATTATATTGAGCATCTCCACCGTAATATTTGTTCACATTGAGTGAAACATTTGTAAAATAACAGAACCGTCATATATCAGTGTTCAAAGGGTCACATGACAGAAACACCCCTGTTAATTTCTAGAGATAAATGAGCATCTTTTTGTGAAATATCCTCACGAATGCCCTCAAAAATTGAAATTGACAAAAACAGTAACATATATAGTGATCATTGATAGATTAGGTTTTGGATAACAGTATATCCTTTTATCTCAGGTATTACTTAGGATGTCCAAGAGATGCACAGTTAAGTTTTGATTAAGAGAGGATGAAGGAATTCTCAAGATCTGATGTAAGGCTTCTACACTCTGATAGCAGCTGCTCAATGATGAATGAAGTGAATAATGCTACGAACATATTTATCAAAATAAACTGACAGTGAATAATGCATGAACTTGTGCATGATTCTCTGCATATATTAATAAATTTGTCATCATACTTTTCATGGTGTGAAAAATAATTGTAAATTGGCACAAAATTGTTTATTTGCTTCAAATAAATAATGACTATGTCAGTAGTATTTTTTAAATAATACTACATTGGCACCCATAAATATGCCAGAAAACGATTATTAAAGTAATGTTGATATGGGCTAATACAGTCACCGCTAATATAGGTGTCGAACAGAGCAAACGTGGTGCCACAATATATACAAATTGTAAATTTGTATCAATAGTTGTGTTCACGTTACACGAAGTACGGGCTAAGATTTAAGCTGATTTAGGCTTATCTAGCATATTTGCATTTCGGCTAGACCCAATTGCGTCCACGCACAGGGAGGGCCAGTCATTAGCACGGGCTAAGGGGCGTCATCAGTTAGTGCCCTTTGGCAAGCCGCTATTTACGAACGAAAAAATAAATGACACGCGCGAGGTTCTATTTCTGCTGCTGACATGTTTTGTTCTAATTTTGAAGCGACGTGCACAGGAACGTGAGAAGACGATCCCAACTTATTTGGATGAACAGGAATAGTATACAACGGCGTAATAGAATACAGAGTTTTATTAATGCATGTTGTAGACAGCGAACCAAATTTATTTTGTCTACGATTGGTGCTACTGTATGCTCTACTACAGTGACCCGATCAGTGTGGAAGCGTGTACACTGAGCTCGGTTGCCATTTTGGGAATGAAAAAGTTGTATATATTTGATCATGTGCATAATGTTCACACCCAAAGGTCGCTGCAGAGGGTGCTTAGCCCTGGGCTAAGTGTTCGCGCACATTTCGCTAGCCCGTGCTAAGGTCTAGACCGCGTCTTAAATTCAGATCAGATTTAACCCGTACTTAGCATTCCTTAGCTCGTACTAAGCGTTCACGCACGTTTGCTTAGCACGGGCTAAGGAATTTGATGTCTTAGCCCGTGCTAAGGAGCTGTGTGTGAACGCAACTAATCTGGCTGGATCCATAGTGCTAAAGTTACGCAAGGTCATTTAATCATGCATTCTGTTTTTCAGTATCTTGATAAAAAATCCATACCCAGTTACCAAATTATGATTTTATATTGAAGAATTTTCTAATGAATAAAATCAATATAAATACTTAGACAATATCTGTGATTTTGTACACATTTTTGTTTAAAGATGACCAAATCTTACTGGAATATTGTTTTAGACACAATTACATGGGTGACCCTACACCTGGCTAATGTCACATATATTTGAAAACTAAGGGTTGAGTCGTTGCCATTATAAAGCATGACGTACAATTTTCAGACTTTGTCCAAACATGGACTAATAAAAAGACTGGCAAAGTCTAGACTTTTTTTGTTTTACAAAAAGAAATAGTTATTTTAGTCCTTTCAACGTGATCGAAAAAAACTAACATGACTGCTAAAGAAATCCCGACTGGCCGCATCTGTGGGTATTTGACTGCTATTAATTATGCATGATGTCATTGATTATTCATGAGTGGATGGGTGAAAGCATTACCTCCATGGTGAAAGTAAGGCAATACTTTCATCCGTGTTTACTGAAAACAAGTCGATGTAAATGTCCAATATATACAAGTAGCCTTTCAAAATGACCTGGACCTCTCAAGTGAAAGGTCATGTATATTAACATAGATAAGATATGACGTATACAACTGCAGTCGTTGTCAATGCTAATCAACATCTGTTAATTAGCATAATCACCGGAGTTTTTTCTCTCCAACACATGACGATGCCTGCAGATGCGTCCAGTCGGGATTTCATTCGCAGTCACGCTAGTTTTCGCGAACCCGTTAAAAAGGCTAAATTGACAATTATATTTTTTTTGTAAAACAAAAAAGAATTCCAGACTTTGTCAGTCTAAAATCTCATTTACTGAATTAGAACAATTTTAAAAGTGGATGTCAAGGTAGCGTACAACTTGTCATAGCACCAACATTCTTCTCATTCAATGAACAAAATAAATTATAGTCATTCAATATGTTACCAACATTTAATAAAATTATTACTTTGCACAACTCCCATCACCACTGTGAGTGATACAAACAATACATACAGTACATTGTTATTAAATCATCTTTTCATATCTTCTAATAAAATTAGTGTAAAAATATAAATTTCAATCAACCATGGTTTGGTCAGTGCAAAATGAAAATATTAATTACTTACAATCAATGTGCATGATTTGAAGCGGTTTGGACTTTGATTTAAAACATAATCACTGCATTTATTTGAAAGCAGGTTTGAAACAAGTCTTGTTATACATTTTATCAAATGACTGGGAGAAAAAAAAAAAATAATCACACTTGCAATCAGTAACACCTGAGAATATTTGAAATCTACTTTGATGTATTGCTGGCAAAATGAATGGGACATGTAAAATGAACTTAAACCCTGCATTCACGTGAACTCAGGTTAGTGATGAAAATAAAATTACAGATTACACCATAATACATGTCTGAAAACTATTGAAGTAATTAGTCTTATATTGTCATGATGCTTCAAGATGTTGTTGTTGGTTGCAGATGTGATTTACAATGAGTGTTTCAATTTTATTACTAAATTAACATAAAATTCCATTTCATCCAATCACACTTCCGTTTTAATGCAAAGAATTAGGCATCAAATAAAAAGCTTAACACAGCTATCTTGTCTTAATCAACACAAGATGCAAATACTCCAGTTTTCATCATTCAAAGAGAAAACCATTCTGATACTTTTCATCAAATTTTATACAATACACGATATGACACATAGCAGTCCTTTGAACATAGTGGTGTCCAGCAATGTGCATTGTAGTCAGTTGCATCCAGGAATTCGTCTAAACTGACCAAGACTTGTGTATCAGTTATAACTGCATTTTACACAACTGTGGAGAGCTTATATGTCATATTGTTTTTTTTCAACATAAGACATAGTGCAGTGTTTGTGAAAAGAAAAAAAAAAATTACTTGTACCATCTGTTAAGTTTGAGTCGTTTTGTTGAGGGTAGCTACTTTTCTGTCAAATGTCACCTGCGTATTATGCAAATATGGTAGTTTCTGATTGGCCTAATCTGGTTATTGCAGAAATAGATCCTAGTTATGCGAATTATGTCACCGGTTAAAACAAGTAGTTGGTGCTGTTTTGTTTGTGTCATATGCTAGAGATGCAAGTTATTTTAATTGTGTGGTCATTTTACTATATACCCTGTTTACATCATATCCAAGGAATTTCACTCAATCGTAAACAATCACGGACCTGGTTCAAAATTTCATATCTGTGAAGTGGTACATAATTTATTGATCACAAGATGGTCCCTTGTTATAGACATCATTTATGTCGTTGATTTATACTGAATTACAGTGACTTGATGTATGAAATATTAGCTTGACCACTGCACTTGTTGCTGATATTGACATTTACAGCCCAGAGAAATTATTATTAGGTCAATGTTTTTCTAATCAGTGTGCCCTCTAAACCGACATAATGTGCAAAGAAATTTGCTGTGACGAAAATAGTTGTGCTAATTTGGTAAAATGAAATTCACATTTTATAAACAAAGTAAACATAAATACAAAGAAAATCTAGCCACAACATTTTTGCTATACAGTCATGTACAATTTAATTTTTTTCTTGGTGACAAACCTCCCCAGCAGTCAACAAGTTGACTCAACTCAATTTTAGGGGGTTTCATTTGACTCAGGATTCCTACAAAATCAGTCCTCTTAGAGGGCACACTGTTTCTAATGTAGAGGTATTTTACAGCAATCTTATCTGTTTTACACACACTGTTGTCTCCAACATATCCATGTCCATGTCAACTGCTCAATCAAATAATGGTTTAGGATTCCTGCACAAATATAGCAATGATAATATAGCAAATCTTGCAGCTCATTAAAAATAAATTAGTATATGTGTTATTTCTTGTTACTGCTTTGCTGTATATGACACTGTATTGTCTTCATTCTTTCCAAAGCAGGTTGGAACCCTTCTTGTAACAGTAGAGTTGTTTCATAGTACTTCAGTGCTTCTATGTAGTTTCCCTGAAGTTAAAAAAAGACAGTTTTGACGACATCTATTACTTTACCTATCATAACGCATCTAAAGTATTTTGGAATTAAAGGCATAATATTGGTGGTGATTGTAAAAAAAAAAACAGCAGTATAATAACTATTTTCATTAACATGGCTGTGTTTACATATTAGTTGATTTTGTCTTTCCCACTGGTGTAAACACTTCTGAATAAAGACTAGCCAACAAAACCACATTCTCACTTTGAATGAAGCTGTAAATAAATAATAACGAAGACAGGGTATGTTTTAGTTGCAACACAATACTAACTTACCATTGCTGCATATATATTGGCCATAGTGAAATGATTGACTACAAGGTCTGGTGAAATTTCCAATGCCATACCAGTCACAACCAAAGCATCCTCAAATAAACCAGCTCTATGAAAGATATTAGCCATACTGATCAGAGCAATGTCCTGCAGAGATATAATCCATGGTCAGTTTTATGCAGTGTTTCTAATAAGTAAATTAATAAGTTATCAAAACAAGCAGCCTCTCGGCTGAGATAGCTCCTCTGTTAGCAAGACACATTTCAATTAAAGAACTGAAGATATCAATAGAAAATTAACAATATGTATAGTATGTATAAGGAATCGTACTTGCTGTTTTCAACAAGAATTCAAAAATATAACTTTTTACCAAAAATGACAAAAAATATTCACCAAAATTAGAGAATTGAGAATATCATCACAAAATGAACAAATCTGAGAGAGGTCCACATGTAGTACCTGTATATGTAATATCAAAGCAATCGGAATTTTGATTTTTAACAAGAAGTCAAAAATATCACGTTTTAACCAAAAATTACAAAAATATTCACCACAATTAGAGAATTGAAGATATCATCACGAAATGAACAGATCTGAGAAAGGTCCACATGTAGCATCTATATATGTAATATCAAAGCAATTGAACTTGCGGTTTTTAACAAGAAGTCAAAAATATCACTTTTTACCAAAAATTACAAAAATATTCACCAAAATTAGAGAATTGAAGATATGATCTTGAAATGAACAAATCTGAGAGAGGTCTACCATAGGTACATACACACCGAATATGAGAGCATTCAGGCGTGTAGTTTTCAAGAAGTCGGAAAAGTAAAACATTGACACGGACGACGACTGACGACGGACAATCACTCATATGATAAGCTCCGCTCGACAAAGTCAACAGCGGAGCTAACAAAAAAAACACTATTACGCTATTACATAAGTAATGGTCATTCAGAGATGCAAGTAATGGTCATTCAGAGATGCAAGTAATGGTCATTCAGAGACACAAGTAATGGTCATTCAGAGATGCAAGTAATGGTCATTCAGAGATAAGTGTTATGGTCATTCAGAGATACAAGTAATGGTCATTCAGAGACACAAGTAATGGTCATTCAGAGATACAAGTTATGGTCATTCAGAGATACAAGTTATGGTCATTCAGAGATACAAGTTATGGTCATTCAGAGATACAAGTTATGGTCATTCAGAGATACAAGTTATGGTCATTCAGAGACACAAGTAATGGTCAGTCAGAGACACAAGTTATGGTCATTCAGAGATACAAGTAATGGTCATTCAGAGATAAAAGTAATGATCATTCAGAGACACAAGTAATGGTCATTCAGAGACACAAGTAATGGTCATTCAGAGACACAAGTAATGGTCATTCAGAGATACAAGTTATGGTCATTCAGAGATACAAGTTATGGTCATTCAGAGACACAAGTAATGGTCAGTCAGAGACACAAGTTATGGTCATTCAGAGATACAAGTAATGGTCATTCAGAGATAAAAGTAATGATCATTCAGAGACACAAGTAATGGTCATTCAGAGACACAAGTAATGGTCATTCAGAGACACAAGTAATGGTCATTCAGAGACACAAGTAATGGCAATTCAGAGACACAAGTAATGGCAATTCAGAGACACAAGTAATGGCAATTCAAAGACACAAGTAATGGTCATTCAGAGATACAAGTAATGGTCATTCAGAGATACAAGTAATGGTCATTCAGAGATACAAGTAATGGCAATTCAGAGATACAAGTAATGGCAATTCAGAGATACAAGTAATGGTCATTCAGAGACACAAGTAATGGTCATTCAGAGACACAAGTAATGGTCATTCAGAGATACAAGTAATGGTCATTCAGAGACACAAGTAATGGTCATTCAGAGACACAAGTTATGGTCATTCAGAGATACAAGTAATGGTCATTCAGAGACACAAGTAATGGTCATTCAGAGATGCAAGTAATGGTCATTCAGAGATAAGTGTTATGGTCATTCAGAGATACAAGTTATGGTCATTCAGAGACACAAGTAATGGTCATTCAGAGACACAAGTAATGGTCATTCAGAGATACAAGTAATGGTCATTCAGAGACACAAGTAATGGTCATTCAGAGACACAAGTTATGGTCATTTAGAGATACATGTAATAGTCATTCAGAGACACAAGTAATGGTCATTCAGAGATACAAGTAATGGTT